TGTCAGTGCAGGCAACAACGCCAAAGCCAGAATGTCCATGTGAAATTCCACGCTCACCTGTCACCGAGCTCCATCTGAATGTGCCACGGAGCTCCCTCTCCCAGCTCCTCAGTGCAGCGCAGCCCCACTGCGACCCTCCCTTGGCACAGTTTGACCCTTTGCGGGGTTGGAATTGGCTGGAGTTGGCGGGACTCGGCTGTAGCCAGCACCAGTGTGGGGTTGCTGGCACCCTGCTGGCCCCTTTCTTCGGAGCAGCCGGCCAGCCCAGGAACAAGACGGCCTTCCCCCTCCCTCTGGACTCACAGCCTTTGCAGAGTCAAGCTCCACTTGAAGCTCACTCAATAATATCCTTTACATGTGTTTTATATTGTTTTGACTGCCTTTTTTTGTAGAAATAAAAATTGACCTTAGAATTTATCATCAGATGAACTTGTAAGGATTTGAATGTTAATGTCTTTTCAAAGCAAGTGGGACTGCCCCTGAAATAGAGAATACCTGTCACTGACACCCAGAGGAAGCTGATGGTCTAAACACCGTGTGTCACCAACTCCTCTTTTGCCACTGGTGGCTGCCCTTCTTGGCTCTTGGGTGGCGGGGGGCGGGGGGGGGAGGGACTAGATCCTGTGGGGAAGATAAAGAAACCTGGCTTTCTGTTTTTAGCTCTCTTACTTGAGATCTTTCTGGGCCTTACAGACCTGTAAGATGGTTTTACCTGTGCAGAGGTGGGTGTGATGGGTAGGTTAGGCAGCAGAACGTTGTTTAGTTGTCCAGGTGCATGGCCCCTGCAGTGTGGCAATGAACTTGGCTTCTTCAGTCCTAGGTACGCCAGGGCAGGTTCTGGAGACTCCTGTGGGCCCAGGAAGGCAGGAGCACCGGGCCAGTGTTTCCACATCTGTCTCTTCATTAGCAGAAAGGTGATAATGGACTTTATTTCACTCACACACAGATTTGTTAATAAAATGCCAAATTCTGTCAGAAGCTATCCAAATAAGCCACCATTTGTTCTCGTTGCTTCTCTGAATCCAGAAATATTGCCATTCTTGGAAACTGTCCCATTGCTTCATATCTCTACCAGCGTAGCTTTGCCTGCCTGTCGCCCTCTCACGTCTGTGCTCAGGAGGATACCTTTGTCAAAGCTGGCAGCCCCTCAGGGACTCTCAGCCCTGGCATGGCACCCCATGGTTTGCCCTGTCAGAGGCCTGGCCTTCAGAGAGCAAGGCAGGGGATGGTCCCTCCTTCAGGCCTGGGCAGCTTGCCCCCCTCCAGACTGGCAGTCCCCAGGGCAGGCTTTGAGCATGCTGGCGGACAGCCCTGGCTGCTCCACAACCAAACAGCTGGGTCCTCTGGAGAAGGGGAGAGCTGTCGAGCAGCCACCACTGACCCGAGCCTACTCAGGAATTCACAAGCACTGGGTTCCTCCAAGTGCGCCGGGTTCCCTCCCGCTCCCTGCCAACGGCAGAGAATAGGCTTTCTAAGATGCTGCGATCCCGTTCTGCTGCCCTTAATAAAAATGCTCTCTGACACTGGTTTGGTTTTGTGGGTTTCTTCCTTACTGGGGGTGGGCAGAGCCAGGGGCCTGTGTTCTTGGAGATGGGGAAGGGGTGGCCAGGACCTAGGCTCTTCTGCCTGCTCCTCTCTCCCCATGCCCAGCTTTTCCAGAAGAGGCACACACAGGTGTGTGGTCTTTCCACGAGGGAAGCAGAAAAGGCTGAAATCCAGGCCATCGGGGCCTGTGGAAGGACCCATTGGGTGTCAGGGGAAGGGACAGTGGCCTCTGTATATGCATCACTTCAGTTCATCTGTCAGTCCCAAGAGAGTGGTATTATGTACATTTAGCAGAGGAGCAGACTGAGGCCCCTAGAGGGTGGCTGTCTTGTTCAACCTCACTGAACTAAATGAGGGTGTACCTGAGGGTGAGGCTAGGCCATTTCCTTGAATGATTCCAGCCAGAAACTTGCCTCCAAGGCCTCCTAAGTCCCCTTGGGAATTTGACACAAGCTGATACCAGACCTGCCCTGTCAGCTACATCTGCAGGTGTCCAGGAGGAACCTTCCTGGAGTGTCATTTTACCTGCAAGCAAGGAGCTAGTCCTTTCCCTTGATCATCAACAGGGTGATCAACTCTGCTGCCTCTTAAGACTTTATCCTCTGTGACTCTTAAGACAACCCCATGGACACCATTATCCCTATTTTTACAGAGGAAGAAACCGAAGTTCAGTGACGGGCAAGGACACGTGGCCTGTGTTTTTACAGTTTGGCTCCAGAGCCTGTTACATTCCATCACTCAGGTTCTTGGACCCCAGACACAGCCACAGTCCTCACCCCTTTCCCAAAACCAGAGCTCTACAGGACCTTCTCTCAACTTCCTCAACTCTGGAGCCACCATTTTCTTGCCTTCCTCACTCCTGTATTAATTGTTCAGCTCAAAATATGCATCTACTTCATCACTCCTGTGCCCACTGCAGCCTGGCTTCTGTCAGCCCCTGGCCAGCCTCCTGAGGCTTCCCTGGCAAGAGCCCCAGGACTTCCTCATTGCACAATCCACAGGCTGTCAGCCTCTCAGCCTACTCTCTTCATTTGGTAGCATCTCTGTGCCCCACTCTGCAGGGCAGCCACCTGACCCCATCAAAGGCAAAGCCAGACTGGTCTTAGTTCTTCCTGCCCCATTTGCACTGGCTCTTCCTCTTCTCCCTGCCTCCCTCACGCAGTGTGGGGCAGTGGCACCAACCAGAGGAGCAGAGCTGAAGGTGGCCTGGCTCAGGTGGTACTTGCTAAATGGCTGTTTCCTGGGTGATTGGGACATGTTTTTGCAGGAGGGCTCCTGGGGACACCATACACGCCTCAGAGGATCAGAGTGGAAAGGACTGCCCAATGGTGGATGGAGGCCCATAACCAAGGCCCAAAGAAGAAAGTCACTTCCTCCAGAGAGCGTTTTCTGAGCAGGCCTGGCTGGGTTAGGAGCCCCCCTTTGGCCCCACACTCTACTTTGTGTTCCTCCCCCCTCTCTCCCACTGCAGTCCAGCCAGCTAAGCCCATGTATGTGCCAGACTGTGAGCTCCACACAGGCTAGGCAATCTGAGCACCAGTCCTGCCTGGCCCAGAGCAGACCTTCCATACATGACTGATGGGTAGAGAACAGTAAACCCCTTGTCCAAGCCACCCAGTGCACAGCAGGTTTGACATAAGGAATACCCCATCTCCCCAGTGGGGTGCTAGTGACCAGCCCCACAGTGGGCCTGATCTGCCTGCAGCCTTCTGCCTTATCACTTTCCCACCCCTTGTGAAGTAGACCTCTGTCTCCTGGCCACAGCCTCTCTCCTCTCCACTGTTAAACCCTCATGGCCCCTAGGGCTGATCTGGGCCCTCATCTCTGATCACCCCTCTCTCCCTCTCTGGGTGACTCCACAGCTTTAGCTGTGCAGATCCCAACTCTCTCTCCTGTCCACCCATACCTCTGTCCTCAGCCTCAGAGCCACACAGCTAACTGCCTCCTCTTCTCAAAATAGCAGAACCTCCCTCAAGGGAGCTTCTGTGCCAATAGGTTGCCTTCAGGCCACCCCTACCAGCTCTGGCCAGCAGCCTGCAGGAATGTGGCCAGACCCCAGTACACTGAGGCAAGGCAATTGGAGGGGCTAAGGGATTCCACTTCACAGCTACGGAGGAAAGGGCCTGTTGCTGGAAGAATCATGGTCAAGGGAAGGTTAGAGTAGAAGATGAAGCCAGGAAAGAAAAGCGTGAAGCCACAGTCAAGGGTTAGAGATGTAGGATCCGGACAGCAGAAAGGAGGAGCAAGATCCCACCCTCACCTCTCAAAGAAAGCTGTACATCCCTCAAGGCAGCCCAGGCCAAGAGAGAGCTCTTTAGGCACCTGATTGCTTGCCTGACACTGCATGGTGAAAAAATGTACAGGCAGCTTCAAAGCCCTGCCACTCCTAGGTCTGTAAAATGAGGACATTGGTCCTTGCACATAAGCACTATTACCTGAGATTAAATGAAACAGGATCATCGTTCCATCTGCCTTTCAACACTCTAGAGCCGGGCAGGGCAGGACTGTGCTCCCAAGAACTCCCTCCCACCTTCCCCATCTGCTCCCTGCATCTCCTTGATCCGAGACACATGAACCCCAGTGACAGGGCATGCACACATCACCAGGTCCAGTGAAGAGTCCAGGATCCCATTTCCACAGACTGTTCCTCTTGGAGAATATTAAACAGGCTTGCAGGACCTCCTTTTATTTGTCCCTAGGATGGCAAAGGACTGCTTGTTGAGAACAAGTGACTTTTTAAGAGAGAGCACGCGTGCACACACTTGAGAGCAGGAGAAGGGCAGAGAGAGAGAGAGAGAGAGAGAGAATCTTAAGCAGGCTCCCACGCTAGGTGTTAACTTGGAGCTCAATCTTACAACCCTGAGATCATGACCTTAGCTGAAATGAAGAGTCAGATGCTTAACTGAGCCATCCAGGTGCCTGGAACAGGTGACTTTTTAAATAAAATTTGAGATTATAGTATCTCCCAAAAAGTAGGCAAGGAGTGAGACATTCTTCTCCCAAACCCCTTCCTCCCAAAATGTGGAGTATGTTTTGCATATCTACTCTGGAATAATGACCTGGTTTGGGCCCTGAGTTGCTTTTGCCTTAAGTGTCTGCAAACGTTTTCTGGGCACAGTTTATAAACCATCCAAGTTTACAAGACAAATATTTTATTAATACAGCGATCTCTACTACATCTGGACAAGGAAGATGCTAACTTACATGACAACTTGAAGGGCACCAAATGCTTGGCAGGCCCCAGGCCCAGATGTCATCTGTAGCCAAGATGGGTTGCCAAAGCTCTGGCCACCATTCTGAGCCATGAGGACATGGACACAGATGTGACAGGGTCCTGCCCAGGGAAGTATGTTACTGGACCCCGGCTCTCAGCCTGGTTCCAGGATGTCCCGGGGCTTGACACTGGCCCCCTTTTTGTGTACTAATGGGTGTTTATGTTTGGCTGGCTATCAGGGTCATGGCCGGGAGCGCTCCAGGAAGGTTTTCAGAGTGGCTTCCCCAGGCCTCTTGGAACCTAGGTCGTGGAGAGCGCAGAGCTGTACTCCGTCCTGTGCAAGCTGGGCCCGCAGTGTGGGTGCGGTGAGGACACGCAGCTCATGCAGCCGCTCCCATGAGCAGGAAAAGGCATCGGGACCCTTACCACAGCCGCCGGCAGGAGGCACACTGGGGTAGCCAGGGTGTGCCATCAGCTCAGCTGTCAGGGTATGGCCCGTGGGTATGCCTTCCAGGGCCCGTGCTAGTGCTCCTGATACGCGATGAACAGACATGTGCCGGCCGCAGGTGCTCAGGCCCACGAAGGCATCCGTCCACCTGTGGATGTCGGGGCATCAGGGGCAGGCAGGGTGCAGCAGGACTGTGTGATGGGCAGGGCTAGGCCTGTGACTGGACAGATCTGGGACGGGGGCAACGTAAGTCGACGCCTGACCGCCTTTAACGATGAGGAACGGACATAGCTGTCAGGTGAACTGCCGGCCGGGCTCACTAGGATACGGGATAGGGGGCTCACCATAGGCCGTAGCGGGAGAAGGGGGCCACGGCGGCCAGGGCGTCGCGCTCCACCGAGCAGGCGAAGGCACGCGCGGGGGCCTCGAGCCACGCGCGGTCGCCCACCCCACGTTCCACCGGCAGCCTTGTGAAGCGCACCCCATTGGCCTGCAGCACCTCTGCGAACACCTGGCACACGCCTGCGGGCGGGGTGGAGTCAGGAAGTAGCACCTCCTACTACCTGGGACCACCTCTCACCCGCAGCCCCCTTCCAGGGAACAATGCCCTCCACCTGGGAGCACGTGCACGTGCTGGTGCCCGTCCACGTGAGTGGGGTCCCCGCCCAGTAATTCTCGGAAGCGTATCAGCTGGGCCTCCAGCTCTTCCCGCACCTGGAGAGAGAGGATGACAGGCACCTTGAACGTCCCGGAGCAGCTACCAAGGAGGGTTCCCTCCAGGTGCCTCCCTGTGACTGCTCGTTTGAACTAGGGAAACATCCATCGCCAGCTCCTGCCACTAATGGCTTCACGGTACCCTCAGGGCGGAGCCTTGGGGATCCTTTCGAGCATCTTCCTGCAGCCGCACCTCCGCACCTGGGGCAAAGCTACGCCTCCGGTCGCCACCGCCTCCCGGAATCCCATCTTGCCGAGGAAGAAGCCTTCGGGGCTGAGCAGCGACGAGTCGCCTAGGCGGGCCGGGCCCACGGGGCGGCCCTCGGACAGGTTGGCGTGAAGGCCCGTAGGGATTTTGTGCCTGCAGGCGGAGCGCGAGCGGGAGAACTGGCTGCCGCGGGGCGGCGGCTTCCGAAGCCAGCCCCGACCCTGGAGGGGTCCGCCACTCACCTGCGGGACAGATCCGCCGCGCTCTCCGCAGCTGCGCCGTTGACCAGCAGGGACACGCTGGTCACAGCCCCCGCCAGGAAGGCCTCTACGATGCCCTCATCGCGCCGCGGGCAGTAACCAAAGTCGTCTGCGGTGACCACGAGGCGCACGCGCGGTCCAGCCATAGACACTTTCGCGGACTGCCCTGGACCCTAGAGGACTGGATCCAGGCCCCACCCCTAGACGCAGTCGCAGGCTCCGCCCTGAAGCGCACGCCCTCACGCAGCTGCACTTCGCCTTTGTTCTCGCCACCTACCGGTCTCAATGAGGCCCTGCAACGATCTTCTGGACCACACAGCGCGCTCCGCCGGATTTATTGCAACGCGGAACTTTCGGTAACTGCAAAAATTATATTTAATGTGAAAAATACAGGAAAAAAAACCCTATTAAAAAAAAAACCTCTTACTCTTCCCTAAAGTCACTAATGTTAACTTTCTAGATAGTGTCCCTCCAGCATTTTTCTAAGCAAATAAACCCAATTCCTTTTCTCCCCCACCCTAAAGTTTTTGTTTGTTTTGAGAAGATAATGATCACATCAGTGTCATCCCATTCTTGTAGTGTTTCATTTTTTTGATAGTGACTATGAACTTTTTCAAACTGCCTATTTGTCTTTGGTGATTTTTTTTTCTAAGAGGAGGTTTAAAAAAACATTCTAGAAAGAACGTTCTAAGTAAGAAAATGAAACAAAACGTGTATAACAATGGCTTCATTTGAGGAAGCATTAGTCCTTGATTGCCCCAATTGAGCTCTGTGCCAGGATACAACTTTTACATTCATAATCTCATTTTTTTCCTCAATGGTGCAGACAAGCTTTCTTTACTGATGACTATATAGTCACCATGGTTGACAGTGAGAGTTTTCATTGTGATGTGGCTGTTTCTTTTCCCAATGGAAAGTGCAACATTTGTCTCCAGCCCATGAGATTGGTAATGTTATTCCTGTTTTGCAGATGAGGAAGCTGAGGCTCAGAGGGGAAAAGTGGCTTGCCCAAAGTGACCCTGCCAGTAGTGGAGCTGCGACTTGACCTCCAAAGCTCTGGGTCTACCCTGGTCCTCTAGACCCTAGCAGCCCCCTGGGTCAGGGGCAGAGAAGGCAGAGCTGAATTTGAGAATAACAAATAATATGTTCCTTGTGGGACATTGTATGGATCAGAGGCCTCATAGAGCCCTTATCAACCTCTTGGCATAAGGGTTATTGTGTTCAGTTGTGATTATTGAATTGTTGGACTTAAACTATCTTTCTCCACTGGGAAGCTGATCCTGAAAAGACCACAGCCCTTGAGGGTAAGCAGATTGGAAAGAGGAAATTGACATTTATTGAGCACTTACTGGTATTAGAAATATTAGAGATTAGGGGTGTGTGCCTCTGTTCCTACCCCCAAGGAGCACCATATGGTAAATGAGTAACAATACCTTGTGGCAGAGCCTAGAATGGGTTTTTTGGTAATTCTGTTGAGGGTGGCAGGCCTTCTTGGAAGGTGACACCTGGGAGGGACATTAGGAGGAGTTTACTGGGCAGAGGGGGAAAGGAGGTAAAGATACACAGAGCTCTTATTGGGGTGTCAGGTGTGTTGTATGCAGATTTGATTTAATCTCTATATTCTCATATGGAAGAACATTCAACTGTTTACAGAGGAGGAGCAGATGACAAGAGGTTGAGTCACACTGGGAGGAAACAGTAGAGCTAGGAATTGAAGCTAGGTCTGTGACTTAGAGCCGGGACTCTTACCATTGTGCTCAGGGACACTGCAGAGGGAGAGGGCTGAAGACTCTCCTGGGGTCCCCCACACTGGGCAAGGAGAGGACCCTAGAAAGGATCAGGAGGCCCAGGAGGAAAGTGCTTGTGTCACCAGAGGAGACTGTGGCTTTGACCCTTAGGGCTTCCCTCAGGTGCCCAGTCTCCTACGTGGAACAGTCGGAAGCCACCCCTGAATCTCCCACAGTGAATGTGGGCAAGGCAAATTCAGACGAAGTGGGGGAGGGGCCAGCCTGGGTCCCGCCCTCAACCATTGTGGCAGAATTAGAAAGCATTGCGAGCCAATCAGGACGTAGCATGTAAATGAGCAAGCCGTGCTGACGTGGGCCAACTCCAGAGCTCCCTGGAGTGGGAGGCTATATTGCCTGGCACTGAGCGAGGCACGGACTCTGGTGAGCGGGTCGGCTCTGAGCCAGGGACAGACAACAGGGCTTCCGGGGTCTAGGAGGAGGGAGGGTCGGAAACATCCAGGCCCAGAGATGGTCAGAGACAGTATGCGGACATCCTTGGGGACCTCAGCCCCGACGACTCTGGACACGGACCGTGCGCAGACACCCAGGGAATTCCGAGCAGAGGAAGGGCCCGACATGTGAAGGACGTGGGGTGAGGGGAGCGAGGAACCTGCGGATCCCGGGATTGCTGACACAGGAGCTGACAGACGAAGGGAGAGTCGGACTCATGGAGGCCTAGGGAGACCCTCACACCATCTCCCCGCCCAGCGCAGAGAGGAATCCGTGGCTGTGCTGCGGAACCAGAGAGAGAGGAGGCCGACAGCGATTCACCCTCACCATGACCAGTTGCCGCCATCACTCAGGATACTTGGCAGACGATGAGGCCGGCCACACCACTTACGTGGCCCGGGTAAGTGTGTCTGGCAGGACCCTGACTTTAAGACCCCCAAAATGTTCCCCGCCAGCTCCAGCACCCCAGACCACAGCCCCCCTTTCTCCGTGCCTGTTGACCTCCTCTCTGGGCCTCTTAGTGACATCCTTATCACCTTGACCACTCCTCGCACCCCCTGCTGGGCCCTAGTCACCCTCAAACTTCATTCACTGTGTCCCCTGACCTCCAGCAGCTGGGGAGGAGCTTGGTAGACTGGTACTCCAGAGTGGAAGCATGGAGTCTACTCAGGGCCCAAGGCTCAAAGTTTCAGAAACAGCCATGGGGAGCCAAGGGTTCAGGACTACAGGTGGTCTGTGCAGTGGAGACAGGACTGGTCTGCTCTAAGGACAGGTGAGGAACCCAAGTAGGGTTCAAAGGGGTTTGTGATTGCCCATTTCTGTCCTGCCCTGTGTGAGGGCAGAAGTGGGCTTTCTGACTCCCTAGCCACATATTATATATGTGAAATGTATGTGTCAGGGAAGCGTTAGGATGACCTGAAATCAAGCCTCACTTTGCAGAAGAGGAAATTGGACTTCAAGAGGGGCCATCATGCCTATGGTGTCACAACCTGCAGTGGCAGAGCCAGGGTCCAGACCCAGAAACTTTCTGACTCTAAAACATAGTTCCTGACAATAAATTTTATAAAAAACAAAACACACACACACACAGTGCCTTCCACTGCCCACTCCCACCCAGCTCCTGGTGCCCTAGGAGGACCTCCAGGAAACCCCCTACTCCTTGTGGAGCATCCATGCCCTATATGACATGATGCCTGTCTGCTCTGGTGCAGCTGCCTAAGAAGCCACTGTTCCTGGAAATGGGACAAGTCTCCAAGCTGGGCCACATGCCACACCTACCATCGAGGTACACTCTCACAGACAGTTCAGGGCTCCATGGCCACCAACAAAACCCAAGGGACCCTCGGCCCTTTGGTAGCTTCCTGGATTTCCTTGTCAAAGGCCAGGTGCTGGACAGCCTACAGACGGTGGTGGAGGAGGCCACTGAGCGCATGACCACCATGAAGACAGAGGCTGGAGTGCCACTGGTGGAGGTGCAGGACCCAATAGAGGTACCAAGGGGTAGGCGGCGGGTACGTGCCCAGCCTAGCCTCAGTACCATGCACCGGCACCGTGTCCGGCCCAGCCTCTGCACTGGATGTCCCAACAACTACCCATCCTGCTCCAGCTCCATGTCTGACTCCCATAGCAGCCTCACAGCTGGCTGGCTGGGATCCCACAGCCAGGACAGTGACCTGGGCACCCGTGGCATGGGCTCACTGCCACCCATGAGGGACAAACTTTTGCTGGAGAAGAACCTCAAACGGCTGCTGAAGCTGGAGAACAGAGGGGTGAGATCCAGGGCCATGGCACAGGGTAGGCAGGATGGACCCCAGTCCAGAACCCAGGGCTAGGGTTAGGCCTGGCTTGGCTGCCCCTGAAAGTCCCCCTCTCTTTGCAGAAAGGCCTGGATCAGTCCTTCTTCCAGAGGGACTCCCTGCTGTGGGATTCACTGGACAGCCATGCCAGCAGCCAGTGGACCCGGGAGCCGCCTCTGTCCTCGTTCTCAGGCCAGCTGGGCTCAAGCTCAGGCACACCTCAAACATCAGAGCTGGGCCCTGGAGAACAGGAACTGATCTGCCTCAAGCAAGAGTTTAATAAGGAGATCAAGTCATTGTTGAGCCAGCCAGCATCCTTTGACCTGCCTGGCTACTGTTCATTCCGTGAGCCCCATCGGACTCTGGACTTTCTGGCTGAGCACCAGCTCTTCCCTGCCCTGCAGAGTGTGGTCAGCCAGGCTGTGGACAAGCTCCGTGGTGCCCGCCGCCATGATGGCTGCCCTCTCTTCCCATCAGAATGGGAGCCCGCAACAGAGTCCAACTCTGACTCCATGCCAGGCTCCAAGCTAGCCACACCCACTGATGAGGAGGAGCCCTATGATATGCTACCCACCAGAACCTCCAGCCCCAAGATGGCTTGCAGAAAGAGCACCAAGGGCAGAGGACAGGCCAAGCCCAAGGAAGGTGGTTCCCCCATGTCCAGTGCCCAAGTGGCCACCAGACTCAGGCTCAAGGTAACACCCACAGAAGAACCCAAGGTCCCCTCACCCCACCGCAGACAGGAGGTGCCTGGCCAGGACCCTGAAATACAGACACCATCCATACCTACTTCGGGGCCCCTGAGCTTCAGCCAGAAGGCCCAGCCCTGGCGGAGCCTGCACCTCACCCTGCCTGCCCCTGGGATCGTGGTTGAAGGGCCCTCCAGCCAGACCCAGCCCACCACCCAGGGCACAGTTCCTCTCATCTCCCTCTCCCCTCACATCTCCCACCACCTCCCCGTGTTCTCACCACTTGCCTCCTCAGTAAGAAGCTTCTCCCCATCTGCTTCACTGTATCCAGAGGTGACCTCAAGGGTGGGACAAGGGGGTTTAGGGAAGGGTTCCTTCAGCAACCACCCTTAGCCACCATCACAGGTATCTTGCCCTGCACTGTGGAAACCACCTGAGCTGGGGACGAACTGATGGGGGGCAGAAATCCTGGCCTGGTTACTGTCAGGTGTTGTTGAAGATGAATAAAGCCAAGATTTTATTCTGGGTCTTTTTGTAACGTTTGCCTGTGAATCTGAGGGGCCCTTCTTTGTGGGGAGGGTCCTGTCCCTTGTAGACAGCAGCTTAAACCCAGAGTGGGGCCCCACATCCTAGGCCCAGCTACCTGTGCTCCCACTAACCTAGGATCCTCCAGTGTGTCTGCTGAGAGGGAGTTGCTCAGAAAGAGTATAGAGAAGACATAGGTGGCTTCACCCTGGTAGACCCCCAGCACAGCCCCTGACCTTCATCTCACCCATCAAGGCCGAGGCAGGCTTCCTTCCTCTGAACCTTGGTCTGGGGGACAATCTACCAGAGCCCAGGTTATCCATGCTCCAGTTTGGGTGGCACTGTGACTGACATCACCAGCCTGGCCCCAGGCCTGACCGGTTTGGTCAAGTGTGGGAACAGTGTGGTAAGTGTGAGGGTGGGGCCCACATGCAGGACCAGGGCTCAGCTGCTGATTGAGACAGGATAGCAGATGTGGCAAGGCCATAACACTAGTGCAACAAGCGTGGCATCTGTGTGGGTGATGTGGATGAGGGTGCTCGGGTGTGAGGGGCATCCTGAGGCATCAGGAATGGCATGACGTGTCTCCTTTTCCCTCTCCGGCTATTGCACTAGAGCCCCAGTTACAAGTTCATGAAGAAGAAGCCACTGCCCTCCATCTCATCCAAGTCTACCATATCCCACCTCTCCAACCCCTTGTACCAGGAGCTCATCAACTACTTGGTGGAGCAGGCTGTGTCCTTGCTCATCTGCAAGTACAAATTCGAGAAGAACCTTTCCAAGCAGCTAGGCTTCATCTCATTCCCTGTCACCGAGACGCTCGTGGACCTCCTCCTGGGCTTCAAGAAAGTGAAGGGCTCCCACATCTGCCTGTCCTCAAAGATCAGCTGGAGCTGCCTGTTGCGCAAGCTGGAGGAGGCAGAGTGGGCCCGACAGCTGTCTAGACAAGGGTCCCAGCACGACTCCCACCGCGGCACCGCCCACCGCAGCACTGCCCACCAGGGGGCGCCCCGGAGCAACACGGAGTCCCCCTCCACGCTGCCTGAGCCGTCCACCCAAAAGAATCAGGAGGAGGACACAGAGCCCACTCTCCACAGTGAGTTGCTGGACCCTCAGCTCCTCCCAGCTCAGGAGGATACTACACTCGAGGAGAAGGAGCCCAAGAGCCAGGAGGAGCCCAGGCCCTTCATGTTCACTGGCACAGACAGGGGCTCCGATCTGTGTCAGGAAGTTGTAGACATGGACAGTCAAGGTGACGAGGAGGAAGAGGACGAGGACAAGAATGATGACTTCTTTGGGGACAAGGGCAAACCCCAGAGCTCTCCCGAGTCTCAAGTGGAGGCCGATGTCAGCAGTGACTCCAGAGATGTGGGCCACAGTCACGCTCCGTGAGGCCTATGAGTTGCACCCAGTGCTTGATTCCCTGCTGCTCCTCTTGCTCCAATGGAGTGCTGCCACCCCCCCCCCCCCCGGCCCTTGCCCTGAGCAGAGGTCAGGGTGGTCTGAATGCCCACGAGGAGCTCTGCTGGCCTATCAGGAAAGCCAGAGGAGAAATAAAGTCTGTGTTGATGGAGCACAGTTTTCTTGTCTGGAGATTTCAGCCCCGCTTCCGTATGACTGAGCACCTGCACCTGAAGTAACACCTCCCGCAGGCCTGGACACAGCCAGCCATCATGACAGCTGGCCATGCCCTGACCCCCCCCCCTCCCCTTCACCTCACATGCATGCTTGAACACAAGTGTCTGCTTATGGTTCTTCTCTGCCCCAGTGTGCACCTTCCTGACTCTTCAAGCCTCTTAGGATTCATGGTGCATTTTCCTAATGGCTCCTGAGCATTGTGGTTCCTGCTTCCAGAGAGCTCCTCCTCTGCCAGGGCAGCAACCTGCTACCTTTGCTATGCCACACCCTCATGTTCCTATTGGGGAACCACGCATCCTCCCTTTCCTGATATTCCCATGCCTACCTGTCTTCCTAATTTGTATTTCCCAGCTCCCAGCTCCTGAATCTGGAGGATCCAAACTAGGTCCCATGGGGGCTCACGGTCTGTCAAGCTGTGGATTGGCTGCTCCAGGCTGGCCATGTGACTACCCTTTCAGTAGTGCCCCTGGCCAGACAGCTTTCTCTGGAAGGGTCTGTGGGCATGGCTGGTGCTGTGATTGGCAGGTCTCATCTCCAAGGTTCTTCTGGGGCTTCTGGCCATCCTGTGCTACCAGCTCAGAACCTGCCTTCTCTCTGCCTTCCCAGGGCAGCCATTTTGTTCCGCTGTTCAGGCATCTTCACCTAGGGAACCGCTCAACCTCTCTCCCCTCCACCCTGTCAAAAGAACATGTGAAGATGCTCCACTCTCACTTGCTGTGTGGGCTGCTGTTTCAGGGATATGGGGGAGGTGTGAGCCACCTGCTCACACAGATCACACAGGTCCCACCTGGGCGTATAGAGCCCAAGTCTGCTCAACCAAGCCTGACCACGCTCAGCGCTCCATGTGTGAAGACACAGTGACTGCAGAGCTTCTCTGGAGCCAGTCAGGGAGGAGCTTCCATACCACACCCATGCCCTGTGGTTCAAGGAGAAAGACCTGCTCTGCTGCCAGTCAGAGCAACCGGGGTCCTAAGTTGGTGGATCAGGGACCCATTTTTCCAGAGATCTCTTGTGGCAAGGATCTTTTAGGGCATATGCTCAACTCATAAGGCCCATTCCCTGAGGCCACCCACAGTGTCGGGCCATAACATTTTTGTACCTTTTTGCCATATCACTTGGCCACAGTTGACTAGCCCTCTTGACACATCCCTATTCTAAGCTAGGCCAGTCAGGTGTTTGCCCCTAGGAGCCTGCAATTGGGGTGGACCGAGAGATTTTTATTTTTTAAGTTTATTGATTTTTAGTAAGCTCTACACCTAACCTGGGGCTCGAACTCACAACCCTGAGATCAAGAGTCACATGCTCTTCCAATTGAGCCTGCCAGGCATGCTGGCATAGACTGGGAAATTCTGGTGCAGTTTGCACTGAGTGCTAAAAACAAGGGTGGACAGTGTGGAGCATCTCCCCCCCCACCCACCCCCCTCTGGAGAGGCAAGAAATCCTGTCTGTAGGACAGAACCAGGAGGGGAGCCCTAGGGCTCTCAGAGACAGCAGCTGGCATGAAACCTGCCAGCTTTCCAGGTCTCTCTGCCAAGTCCTCAAGGGAAAAAGAACATACACCCACCCTGGCCTCAGAGGCACATGTCTAGGGAATGTCCCTGGAGTGGGAGCAGCCCCTTTGGGAACCACTGGTACACTGTGCTAAAGACATCTGACTTTAGCTCCTGTATCTGTATCAGGTATCTGTTGCTATGTAACCACTCCAAGGCTTAAGTGGCTTCAAACAAAGTCATCATTTTTCCTGATGCTGGTGGTTGGCAGGCTCAGCTGGCAGTGGTGGAGATAGTTTCTTGTGTGGCTGCTTTTAGCTGGGGACATGGCTGAGACCAGAACATCCCACATGGCCTCTCCCCCTCTAGGATCTCCCCAAGGCCCCTACCCATTCATTCAGTCCTCTGGCCTGCACTTCCTTACAGCACGGTGCAGCAGCTGGCTTCCTAGAGAGACAAATCGAGAACCACTGGTCCTCTTGCAGCTTTGCTCAGAAGCCCCAAAACAGCATTTCTGTGCCATTCTCTTGGTCAAAGCGAATGGCAATGCCTGCCCAGATTCAAGGGGAGGGAAAATGGAGTCCATGTGTTAATGAGAGAAGCAGCTTACACTTACAGGGATGGAAGGAACTGTTAGTAGCCATATTTGGAGACCAGCTACTACCCCTCCTCCCCATCCATAGCTGATTTCACCTTGAGCAGTCCCTGGAACCAAGTGGAGCAGATCAGATTCTTTTCTGAACCTGAAGACAAACTGTGGCTGGAAAGCAGAAGTCTGCGGAGACACCATAGTCAGCCCTGAGCATCTGCCAGCTGCGGAAGCCGGTATGCAGCGGGGAGCAGGGAAAGAGAACAGCTCCAGCCATGAAGCTCTGAGAAAGTTGATGGAGAGCCATGTTGGTTTCTCCTATTCCAGTTCTTGGGTCTCTGCTGTACTTGGAATTCTGCCTTTGCCTGTCGGGGAGATTGCTTGCTGTGTCCTCACCACCCTCTGGTCTTACATGCAGTGGGAAGCTGTTGGCAGCTTCAGCAGGTGCCTGGCATGATCTGATATATGCTTTTTTTTTTTTTTTT